GATTTACGCTCTTAACTTTGCATGCGCCGTGGTCGGTGTTGGGGAGGAGAGGCAGAAGAGCTGGGGGTGGTGATGCTCTGGCCCTCTGCCCCCCCACTGTCAGGCTGCCCCAGATAAGATCACCACTATCAAGCGCGTCTCGGAAGACGTAGTCAACTACTTCTGCAAGACATATGGGGGAGGACCCAGGCTGACGGGGGGGGGTATCCTGAATGAGGCTGGCTTTTCCCCTCCCCGAATCAAAAAATGGGGCGTGTGACTGGCGGGAGCCGCTCACCCCTGACCACTGTTTTGAGGAGGTTGCAGATGGCTTTGTAGTATTCGCTAAGTTGGCTCTTCAGCCGCAGCACCTGGCACCTCTGCACCACACAGTCCTTGCAGAGGGCTTTCACTAAAGAAGCTCCAAGTGGGGTGTCCTTGCCTTCCGACCTCGCAGACTTTGCGTATGATTTCAGCAAGGAGGCGGACCAAATGCCCCCGCACCGGCCATATGATTGCCCCATTGATTTGATTCTGGACGCGCCACTCCCAGTGGGGCGTTTGTATTCAATGTCGGACCCTGAGTTGACCGGGTTACAGGACTTTGTGGACAAAAATCTGGCTCGAGGTTTTATCCGGGCCTTATCCTTGCCACTGTCCACCCCGGTCCTGTTCATGAAAAAGAGGACCGGAGACTTGCGGCTTTGTTGTGACTATCGCTAGTTAAACGCCATCACAGTGCGCAACCGGTATCCTCTGCCCCTAATTCCCAAACTGTTGGAACGGCTTTGGGAGGCTTATAATTTTGTTCAGATCCGTCCCAGGGATGAATGGAAGACGGCGTTTGGCGCCAGGTACAGACATTTCAAATATACGGTCATGTCATTTGGGTTGACCGATGCTCCTACCGTCTTCCAACATTTTATGAACAACATTTTCCGGGACCCCTTGGACCAGTTTGTCGTGATTTATTTGGATGACATTTTGATATACTCTCCCTCCCTCCCGGGAGAGCCATCAACACCACCTACGCCTGATCTTGCAACGGCTCCGGGAGCATCACCTATATGCTAAACTGGAGAAATGCCAGTTTTTCCAGTCCACCATCATGTTCCTGGGGCATTGCATCTCTCATAAGGGTATTGCCATGGAGCCGAGCAAGGTGGAGACACTGACTGGAAACAGAATTAACAACATTGCTTTCCTGCAAAGGTCCCACATGCCTTTGCTCCTCTTTTAAGCCTTATGGGAGAGGCCAATCATCTCCAGGCCTTACTCCCGAGTCGTCCTTTTAGTTTTAACTGTTCTTGCCTTCTGGCAGCTCTGTGCATGCACGCACTAGGAACAGGCTCCTCCTGTTCCTCTGCCTCTCTGATGTCTGACTCTGGAGGCTCCGGAGTCCGTGCATAACTCCCAGATGGCCCTGGCCCCATCTCTGCCTCTGATGCAGAGCCCTCATCTGAGCCTTCCCCAGACTCTAGGACTGGCCTATGTTCCTCCCCAGCCTCCTCACTGTCTGACTCCGCTGCCAGCTCCGCAGGCTGCTGGCGGACCACAACAAGTAAACTATGTCCACAGAATTTCTCTAAACCACTAAGAATGTAATAAAATTTGTCTGGCATGATCTGTTTTTGATAACCTATGTTGGCTTGTTTCTATGTGTTCTCAGGATCAATGCTCATTTTTTCCAGGATCTTCCCAGGTATAGATGTCAGGCTGAGTAGTCTGTAGTTTCCTAGATCTATTTTTTCTCCTTTTTGAATATTGGGACCACATCAGCTCTTTTCCAGTCCTCTGGTGCTCCAGGGACTTTGAAAGATATGGTTCAGTGGTTCTGAAGTCACATCTGCCAGCTCCTTTAGCTCATACCAATGTTCTATATATTATGTTCAGCCAAAGAAATATAACACAGTTATTAAAGGGAATCATCATCTAATAGTTATTAACATTTCAGATTAAGCGAAATAAGGCCTCTCTTAAATCTCATTCATGACTCAGTTATGAGGACGAAATAGGAGATGGAAAAGCCCTATATATTATTTTGAACATCTTGGTGGATGTTCTTGGTGGATGTTTTAAAATTTCCATTTTAAAACTAAATTATTTGGAATAACTTAATCTTCCATCTTAAAGGTAAATGAATTAAGAGCACAACTCATATTTCAGATAAAACAGTCATATGATAATTACAATGTGTTGTTGATCATTCCTTGTTAACTACTCGTGATTTTTTTCAGAAATTCTTGCTATTTAGATTACAGTTGAAGCAGTATTTGAACAGAATAAAAACAAGGTCAAGTCTGAATGCATATGTGTAACAAATGTAATCTGAAAATGTTGTAGCACCTCCTTTTGGCATCAATAATGCGAAGAGCATTCACTTGGAAATGAGTTTCTGTAATACTGGTTCAGTAATACAACATAAAATGAGATTCTGGAGTACAATATTACTATTTCTTGAGAAGAATTTGATTGATTTGAGAGTGCATAATCAATAGCTAGCTATAAAATGGCAAGATTTGTATGTGTATTACTGTGTGCGTGTCTATGTCTCTCTCTCTTACACCCTGGGTATCACTCTGTGTGTACCTCTCTCTCACACCCTCTGTGTATCACTCTGTGTGTCTTTCTGTCTCTCTCCCCCCCTTCTCTCTGTATGTGTTTGTGTGTGTATGTGTGTGTGTGTCTGTTCTCTCTCTCTCTCTTTCTCTCTCTCTCTCTGAAAGCCACGGCTGGGCCAAGCCAGCAAGCTCTTCTTGGGGTGTTTCACTACTCCTTTTATTTCTTCTTTTTGGAAATCCGGGCTGGCTGAGGAACGATCACCAGCAGGGGCAGAGGCTTCCCTTCAGGCAACCGTCCTCCTCCTTCCCCCCCTCCTTCTCCTATCGTGACCCCCTGGCCTGCTGTGGCTGAGCCGAGAGTGTGTACACACGTGGAGAGACCCTCCACAACCGAGCACCAAAGCGCAGCAAAGGCACGCATGTTTAAGGAGGGTCTTAACAGAACGCAACAGGACGTGGTTTCTCTCCTGCACTGAGGCTCCGGCCATCACCTTGCCGTGTCGTCCCCCACCCCCAGCAGCTCTTCAGCCGAATGCGAAGGGCACGAACTCCAGCCCGAAGTGCCAGGAAACGGCTGTCTTACGCGCAAATGTGGGGCGAAGGCAGGTACAGGGCCACTTCGGTCCTGCACTCTCTGGCGACCCTCCTCCCCCTCTTCCTCTTGTTACCCCCTGGCAGGCTGTGGCTGAGCCAGGAGGGTGCGCACATGTGGGGAGGCCCTCCTTAAGCAAGCGGCCGGCCGGCCTGCGTGCCTTTCCTGCACTTTGCCGCTCGCTTGAGGGTCTCCCCACGTGTGCACACACTCCTGGCTCAGCCACAGCCTGCCAGGGGGTCACAAGAGGAGGAGGGGGAGGAGGGTCACCCGAAAGCAAACCTCCACCACAGCTGGCGATCGTTCCTCAGCCAGCCTGGATTTCCAAAAAATCCAAAAAAATAAAAGGGGTGAGGGGTGAGGCCAAACAGTGATGGGACAGGGAGCCACAGCAGAGGGCCCAAAGAGCCACATGTGGCTCTGGGGCCACGGGTTGCTGACACCTGGGCTAGAAGGAAAGAACCTATATTTCACTCCTATACTCTGGAGTGGAAATATGTACTATACAGAGCCTGATTTCTCTGTTCTGCAGTTCTTCATATTCTGTCTGTGAGTTTCTACTATGTTTCTGAATACAGAGTTAGTATCTGAAAAATTAAGCGTTATTATTGTACATATGGCATGAAGTATGACAAGGAATATCTTATGAGCATAGTATATGCTATATCTTGCACACCATGCAAGTACTGTGTTTCTCAAAAAACAAGACCCTGTCTTTTGTTTGCCCCCCAAAAGGCACCAGGTCTTATTTTCAGGGGGGTTGTTGTCAGTAGACTCACCTCACTTATACGCGTCTTGCCCTGTCTCCTTTTTTCTGTCAGAGGCCTTCAGGAACTTCTTCTGAGGCTGGTAAGGCTTTCCTGAAGGCCTCTGCAGCCGATAACAGAGTTCCGGGTCGATTTGGAGCTCTGTTATCGGCTGCAGAGGCCTTTAGGAAAGACTTGCAGGTCTTGCCGGCTGCAGAATAAATGGGTCGGCAAGGAAGGTGTCGGGGGCTGCGAGGCAACTGCAACTGTCCAAAGGTAAATATGTAGGGCAGCTCCACCCCCATCCCCACCCTAGCATAATTTTTACCTGTGCACTCTGGAGTGGGCAGGTCTTAATTAGGAGTTATTTTGGGGGTAGGACTTACATTGGGCACACATGTAAAAATCAAGCTAGGATTTACTTTCGGGTAGGTCATATTTTCAGTGAAACATGGTACTTTGAAAAAAAATGCAAAGAAAACTGTATGATTTATTCAGGCATTCACCAAGAGTCAAAGTCTGACAAGATGGTGCATATATACATATATAACTTACCATAAATCAGGCAACAAATATCAGTCAAATACAGATTTTCAAATGACCGAGGTATATATTAGAATTAAGCTGGTATGCAAGAATGAGGAGAAATTGTAGGAATAAGCACTGAAAAAACATTTCTCACTTATTTAGTGTTAACAAACTGAACATGGATTACAGCAATACTGTTTTGAAGATAACATGACCAAGAAATATGAGATATGAGACATTTGGTGAGTTAAAAGTACTAATAGTTACTGTATGTCAAATTATAAAGCATTGGCTTGAATGTCTTTACACTTCTGGTGGAGAATGCAGGACATCTGAAATATGCATTTATGATATATTAGTACCTTTCAAAATGAGGGGAAGAATAGTCATTACCGTGTTTCCCCAAAAATAAGACCCTGGCTTATATTTTTTTGAACCCTGAAATAAGCACTTGGCCTTATTGTCATGCGCTCAAAAGCCCGATTGGGCTTATTACCAGGGAATGTCTTATTTTGGGTGAAACAGGGTAGATACTACAATCCAGAGAGCAAACCCAGTAGTATATTTGAGACATATAAATAAGAGTGTACTCACTTGAGAATCATAGTCATGGTTTCTTTTCTGTCTTTCCCTTGAAAAGGTAGAGTACCAGTGAGCATTTCAAACTGAAAGAATAAAATTTTCATCAATTATATTAAAAGATATGGAGAAAACCTTTGACGTGATTATTTAGAACATATTTTTAATTTTTTTTCTATAAATGTAAATTAGGAGCTTTATATGCAATTTTCTCTAATAACAGCTTAAGTTCCCCAAAGCTTAACTCTATATTTAATGCCTCCAATATGTTTATATTAAGAGATACGATGGTGCAGTGGTTAGAGTGCAGTACTGCAGGCTACTTCTGCTGACTGCCAGCAGTTTGGCAGATCGACTCTCACAAGGCTCAAGGTTGACTCAGCCTTCCATCCTTCCGAGTTGGATAAAATGAGGATCCAAATTGATGGGGGCCATATGCTGACTCTATAAACTGCTTAGAGATGGCTGTAAAGCACTGTAAAGTGGTATATAAGTCTAAGTGCTATTGCTATTGCTATTCCTCAAATACAAAATTTTATTTCCCTAGATTTTTTTAAAGTATAGATTTTCAATTCCATTCTGCCTTTAAAATTGCAAAATAAAAACAGATAACATTGCAACACATTTTAAGAGCAAAATATTCTGAGTTCAAAAATTATATTCAAATTTCATTGGAAGTTGACCAACCTCGAAAGTAAGGTTGGACAATTTTTGATAACAAGCTGTTCTAATATAAGAACACATATGGTGAGACTAAAATGTGCTTTGAGAGTTGAAATATTTGCAATTCAAAATTATTTGGTATATTTCTATTTTAATGAAACAGTTCCAAAATATATTTATATTTTCTTTTCTGCTTTTACACTTTAAGAAATTTAAATATTTAACACAGTGCTTTATGAATAAACATATACATACCAAAAGAATCAAAATTAATTTGGCTATTAATTTTTTGGAAATTGAAATTATTCTTTTTTTTCTCCTCTAGAAAGTTTTTTAAAACAATGCTTATAACTTCATATGATTACTAGGTGATATCTCAAATTATTTTAAATTTAGGAGGTATTTGTATACTGGCTACCAAAAACTAGAAATTAAAATTCAGTAAAAGCTAACACTTCTTTATTTATTTTTGTAATACATAAGTAATGTTGACCATGTTAACAGCTTGCACTTTAAACACAGAAGTTCAAAATCTACGTATATTTGTTATTTAAGCCAATTTATGGTGAAAAATATTGCACTAGCATATTTTAAAAATCTCAAAAAATTTTAATTGCAATTTTTAATGATCAAGTAAATGAAAATCCAAAAGTATATTTGTTTAGATTTGATTATGGACATAACAAATTTGAAAAATATTATTTTTATGATACTATTACTATAATTCTCTTTAGATATAAATCATTTCCATTTGTCTTAATTCATAGATTAAGACAATAGATGTATATTGACAGGATTTACAGAAATTCATCCTAGAGGTACTTACGAAATAATAAAAATAGTGCCAATTTTATAGTGACCTGCAAACTGCCAACAAGTGAAATAAAGAACTCAATTATTTACACTACCAATTTATATCCCTGATATATATACATATATTCAGAATAAATTAACTAGGTGGGTTTGTATTTGACATTCACATATGATTAAAATGAAGTTCCTTCTCTTCTTTTATTATTACAAAGCTTACTAAAGTAATCATCCCATGCAAACTGTGAAGTTTCCGAAAGATGCCCTAATTAATTCATGAGCCATAAGCCAAACTTCAAAAGAAATACAGTCATTTATTAGGAGCACCATTTTGGCAATATTCGGATGCAGTTAGAACTAATCCCACGTAGATTTACGTTCCCCTATGATCCTGTCTCTCCCCTCCTCCCTGGCCATGTCATAAATCACATTCTCCAATTAACCACTTTAGCTGGCTGCGAAATCCAACACCCTCCTCCTGATTGCGGTAAGGAAGCATGTATGGAATGTAGCTTCAGTTAGGGAAATCAATCAGCTCTATCAGTTCTCCGTCCCTCCTACTTATGGCAACTTGAAAGCTTTGCAAGTTGACATTCGACTCACCTCACTTCCCGAGGGCGACCTGCGCAAAGCAAAACAATTTGAGTACAGATGTAGAGTATAGGAATGTGACCACCCCACCTGGCTTGTTTGGATTTTCCATGTGAAATATGGCTATAAGGCGATCAGCCTGGATGTTTCAACTCTTTACCCAAGATGCCTCTGATAAGATGTAACCCTTCCACTTGATTAAATATTGGAGTTGTCTCCTGTGTCACCTCGAATTGAGGATTTGCTGCACCTCAATGTGTTTGGTCCCCTATGACCATGGGGTCTGGGGGCTCATGGGGTAGTGGCCTCAGGGTCAATCAGACCACGGGTTTTAAGAGGCTACTATGGAATACCGGGTGTATCTTCCCTAGCAGTCGGGGCAATTTCAATTGCATCGTGACCGGGTTGATTATCTTTACTATGGGGAATGGTCCCATAAACTTTGGCCCCAATTTCTTGCTAGAGAGTTTTAACCTCAAATATTTTGTGGAGAGGTAAACTTTCTCCCCCAATTGAAATGGCCTTTGGGGAGCTCGGTGTTTATCTGCCTATTTCTTATAGGTTTGTGCTGCTTTAGCTAGCGCTTTCTTGACATTCTCCCAGGTTGCTTTCAATGTCGCCATCCAATCGGTCAAGCTGACTGAGGAGGGGGGCTCCCTTGGGTACTCAGGCATTGGGACGAAGTCCATGCCGCTCACTACCTTGAACGGGGTTAGCCCTGTGCTACTGTGAACAGCATTATACGCGACTTCAGCAAAAGGCAGGAGTTCCGCCTAATTGGACTGCTGATAGTTCACGTAGCACCTCAGGTACTGCTCTAGCATGGCATTCAGTCTCTCTGTCCCCCCATTGGTGCTTGGATGAAAGGCTGAGCTAAGGCCCTGGGATGACCCAAAGGACCGTAGGAACTCCCTCCAGAACTTAGCCGTGAACGGGACCCCTCTGTCAGAGATAATTCTTCTTGGTACTCCATGGAGGCGGCAGATGTGTTTCAGGAACAGTTTGGCCAACTGGTGGGCTGAGGGTAGTCAGCTGCAGGGTATGAAGTGTGCCTGTTTGGAAAATAAATCTATTACAGTCCAGATCACTGTGTTTCCCTCACTTTTCGGCAACTCCACTATAAAGTCCATTGCAATCTCCTCCCATGGTCTTGTCCGGGGGATTTTCCTGGCTGCTTCTTCATCATGGCACAGATGGTGCAACTTTTCACATAACTGTCCATGTCTTTCTTTATGCTGGGCCACCAGAACTGCCTCCGTGCTAAGTGTAAAGTCTTTAGGAATTCAAAGTGGCCTGCCGGTTTAACATCGTGGCTCCTCTGGAGGATCAGGGTATGTAGGGATTCAGGGACATAGAGCTTTGTCCCCTTCCATGTGAGGTCATCCCTTTTTGTCAGGATGTGTTGATTGTCTCGGAACCAGGGGTCTGCCAGCAGTTCAGTTTTGAGTTTTCCCGTCAGATCACTTGTTGGTTGGTCGTGCCGGTCGCGGAGTTGTCATCTGGTGGTTACTTGGCCCGCTATTTGGGAAAGGGGAACGATGGCGTCCACTACCTGCTCCCATTCACATTTGTACTGGGGCATGCGGGAGAGGGCATCAGCTAGAAAGTTCTTCCCCCCTGGAATGTGCTTTAGCACGAAGTCAAAATGGTTGAAGTATTGAGCCCAATGGACTTGTTTGGGCGATAGTTTTCGCGGGGTCTTGAGGACCCCCAGGTTTTTGTGGTCAGTCCGGATTTCGAACAGTTTCTGCCCCCCTTCCAGCAGGTGTCTCCAGGTTAGCAGTGCCCATCTCACCGCAAATGCCTCCTTTTCCCATGCTGTCCATCGTCTCTGTGTCCGTGAGCTTGCGGGAGGTGTAGGCGCAGGGTTGCAGATTTCCTTGACTATTTCTTTGGAATAGCACTGCTCCAACTGCCACGTCGCTGGCATCTGCTTGGATGACGAAGAGTTGTTCGGGGTCAGGGTGCTTCAACACTGGTTCCTTTGCAAACATTTCTTTTAGTGTTTCAAATGCCTCTTGGCAGGTTAGGTCCCACTGTAGAGGTTGTCCCAGGCGGGGTTTTGTTCCTAGGCTCCCTGTCTTTAAGTGGTCCGTCATGGGTTTGGCAATCATCGCAAAGAAGGGGATGAATTGCCTGTAGAAGTTCGTGAATCCTAGGAAGCTTTGTAGCTGTCTACGGGTACGAGGGGGTTGCCAGCCTAGGACGGCTTGCACTTTGGCTGGATCCATCTCTATTCCCTCATTTGACACTCGATAACCCAGGTAGTCTAGCCATGCACGGTGGAACTCGCATTTGGACAGCTTGACATACAGGTTGGCTGCCAGAAGTTATTCCAGTACCTGGCAGACAAGGGGTATGTGGTCACCCATGGCCTCAGTGTAAATGAGGATATCATCTAGGTAGACGAGAACCCCCTTGTAGAGGTGCTCATGCAGCACCTCATTTATTAATTGCATGAACACCGCTGGGGCTCCCTGCAGTCCAAAAGGCATCACTTTGAATTGGAAGCTCCCTAGGGGGCAGTTGAACGCTGTTTTCCACTCGTCTCCCTCCCTGATGTGTACTTGGTAGTATGCTTCTCTGAGGTCTAGTTTGATGAAGACTTTGCCTTTGGCCAGGTGTGATAGCATGTCATTCATGAGGGAGAGAGGATATAGGTTGTGTACACACACGGCATTAATTCCTCAAAAGTCCATACACAATCTCATAGTTCCATCTTTTTTTTTATTTGAAGAGGACTGGCGCTGAGACCCGTGGTTTGGCTGGCTCGATGAACCCCCTTTCTAGGTTTTTGTCTATGTAATTGCGCATTTCTTGCATTTCCTGGGGTGTCATGGCATACAGTTTGGGCTTGGGTAGTTTTGTCCCGGGGATGATTTCGATGGCGCAATCTGCCTCATGGTGGGGAGGCAGGATGTTGCACTCGGCCTTGCTGAATACTTCTGCAAAGTCCTGATATTCCCTCGGGATTTGTGCGGTCTCTGTGGTTTTGTCGGATGTGGCTGCCAGTTGTTCTGGTGTGTTCTTTTGAAGGGTTCCCTGCATGGGTGGTGTTTCTGCTCATTGGTGTGGGAGGGGTTGGGGCCCCCTTGCTATTCTCAGTCTGCAGTTACCCCCTTGCCACCAGATGGTTGGTCCCCACTTGTCTAGCCAGGAGAGTCCCAGTATGACTGGATCTGTCATTTTAGGGGCTATTACGAATCAAATTATTTCCCAGTGATCCGCTAGCTCTAGCCTCACTGGTTCAGTCAGGTGAGTGGCATAGGCTCTCCCCATTAGAGACCCATCAACCTGTTCGAACCGGATTGGGTGGGTCAGTCTTTTTGCTCTGATCCCCAGTTTCAGGACTGTGGTTAGGTTGATCAAGCATCTAGTGCAGCCTGAGTCTATCAGGGCTTGAAAAGCCTCCTGGGTCCCCTTTTTTGGGGTTGTGAGGCGTATTGGGAAAACGAAAGGGTGGACTGGTCCCCTCACCATTGGGTCGTTTTCACCCTCGTCCTTGCTGTCATAGGGTTCTGGCGACTGGTCATCTTTGCCTGGGGTTCCCCCACTTCGGCCGTGTGGGGAGGGACTTCTTCCACCTGGAGGACCCTCCGGGACGTGTTGGTAGCCCGTTTGGGGCCTCATTCCAGCTGTCCCTTGCTGGTGGCTCTGGCCTAGGCTTCGGGGCTGGAGTCGTGCACACAGATGCCATGTGGCCCTTCCCCCCACATCTGTAGCACTTCAGCAGGCTTCGAGGGAAGGCTGATTTTGGGGTCTGCCGTGGTGCTGTGGTTCCCCATTGGCTGGGCGATTTCAGGTTGGGTTGCCCCCTCTCTTTCATGTCTGGTTGCTTCCTCATGTTGTTGGCGCGCAATCCACTGTCAACTTTTATTGCTACTCGGAACCACTCAGAGAGCTGGTTTGGGATGTCCCAGTAAGCGGTTACCTGGGCAATTTGGTTGTCCAGGCTTGTTCTGAAAAAGTGCACTAGCAACCGTTCTGATAAAGGGGATAGCCTCCCAATGACTCTCCTAAATTCGCGGATGTGCTCTTTAATGGGGCAGCCCCTCTGCTTTAGATAGCTGAGCTCATCTTTTGCATACAGGTCTTCCTCCACCTCTTCGAATCTGGCCTCTAGCAGTCGTAGGAAATCATCTGCATCTTCCATCTTGTGAAAGGCTGCTAACCATTTCCTTGCTTCCCCCTCTAGCCCCTCTGCAGTGGTATTCACCATGGCTCTGGGGGATGGGAAGAGGTGTCCATAACATTCTAGGTGGATCTCAGCTGAGTCGAGGAATAGAACTAGCTGGTCTGAGTCCCTATCAAACTTTCCTCTGAACTGGGGCAGTTCATTCAGCTCCTCTCCCCCGCTTTTGGCCTCTGTACGCTTGCATTTGATGTAGCTGGCCCTCCTCCTCAGCTCTGGTATGGAAGAAGAGAGGGGTTTGTCTTCTCTGGGCAGCCTGCCTGCTGCGTGGAACAGACATTGGTTGCAGCCTCCTTCTGATAGGTGGAGAAGGGGGGCTGTGTTCCTGCCTGCTTCTCCTCACTTCAAAGGGATCCACTGCTCCTCCCCTCTCCTTTGGCCTGCATGACAGCCCCTCATCGGGAAGGGCGGCCCGGTCAAATTCCTCCCTCGGCTGCTCTCTGGAACTCCCCAGGGGCTTTGGGAGCCTGGCTTGTTTCCAGTCCATCCTCCACTCCACTCTTCCCAGCTCACTTAGGAGCTTCCCCTTTTCCCGGGCATTGTGGTGGGGGAATTCAACCTCAGCTGCTTTAGGGATTAACTCCCACCAATACTCATCTTTTCTTGCTTCCACCGCTTGAGCAGGCATCTCAGCTTTGATGTCTGAGGGAGGCTGCACTCTGGCTGCAATTAGGCTCTCTTCAGATAGCCCGTCTTCGGCCATGGTTGCCTGATTTTCCCTCCCAGCACCCCAGATATTGGGGAGTGATTGGAGAGTCCAGGATTCAGGAAACCTGGTAATCTTGATAGATTTTAAAAGGAGTTCTAACTGTCTGTGAAGTTTCCGAAAGATGCCCTAATTAATTCATGAGCCATGAGCCAAGCTTCAAAAGAAATACAGTCATTTATTAGGAGCACCATTTTGGCAATATTCAGATGCAGTTAGAACTAATCCCACGTAGATTTACGTTCCTCTATGACCCTGTCTCTCCCCTCCTCCCTGGCCATGTCATAAATCACATTCTCCAATTAACCACTTTAGCTGGCTGTGAAATCCAACACCCTCCTTCTGATTGCGGTAAGGAAGCATGTATGGAATGTAGCTTCAATTAGGGAAATCTATCAGCTTTATCAGTTCTCCCTCCCTCCTACTTATGGCAACTTGAAAGCTTTGCAAGTTGACACAAACTTACCATTAATACACCAAATGACCACCAGTCTGCACTCTGTGTATGACCTCGCCGATTAACTACTTCTGGGGCCATGTATTCCACTGTTCCACAAAAGGAGTACGCCTTTTTCTCATGATCAATAGATTCTTTGCTTAAGCCAAAATCTGGAAGAAAAAAAAAAACATTTTTATGCATATTTCTAACCAGAAAATTATTTAGTTTTTAATAGGCTATTTTTAAGTGCATGTATTTTGCAAACATTCTGTTTTATCACGCAAAAAGCAAGGTGTCTACAAATCATTCATAGAAAGTAAATTTTGCCTTACATACCTGTTAATTTAATATGCCCTTCTTCATCAAGAAGTATGCTATAAATAAAATAGTTTTAAATTGGTTATATGAATTTTATTGGTAACAATTAAAGAAAACTATAAATAGTATTAAATGTTATTTCAGGGTTAATCCTCTATTGATAAAGGTTTCCCCAGTCCAGTTGTGTTCGACTCTAGGGAGTGGTTCTCATCTCCGTTTCTTAACCGAGGAAGCTAGCATTGTCTGAAGAACTTTAGTGGTCAGGAAGCCAGCATGACCATAAGCCGAGGGGCACGGAATACTGTTACCTTCCCACCAAAGTGGTACCTATTTATCTACTTGTATTTGCATGTTTTAAAGCTGCTAGATTGGCAGGATTGCTAGACTGGGGTAAGTAATGAGAGCTCACCAGAGGTGGTATTCACCTGATTCCAATTGGTTCGGCTGAACCGGTAGCAGCGACTGCAGGTGCCCACCTGCCCTGGCATAATACCGTCCTATTTAGCCACGTTTTCGAGGCCAGGTGCATGTGTGGAAGGTGCGCACGCGCAGCGAACCGGTGGTAAGAATATGTGAAACCCACTGCTGGAGCTCACCACATTATTTGACACTCAGGTATTGAACCCAGGCTGTCATCTTTTCAGTTGACAAGCTCAGTGTCTTTAACCACTGAGCCACCACACCTGTATAGATAGGAATGGCCTATAAGCCTCTACAATAAATAAATAAATTTATCAAATGTATAAATGTAGCCATGGGCATCTGCAAGTGTTTGCTTCTTTTATTAGAAAGATGGAAGTAGTGTTGTGCTATATGATATTCTCCTCTGTAATTTCTATATATATAGAAAAGGGCAGATATTTATGACATAAAAAAAACTTTTGCCATGCCCTTCTACTTGACCATAATTCCATGGACACAGCTACTTGAATCCAATTTGAATAACTTACTTTTCTGGTTTTAGATCTCTGTATATTATCCCAAGACTATGCAGATGGTCTAAAGCGAGTGCTAATTCAGCCAAATAAAATTTGACATCATCTTCTGTGAACATGACCTACAAAGAAAAATATACATTTCCATAACTAAGGTACTGTCAGGTCCTGCCATCAAAGGCTGGAGGTGGGGGGAGGAAGGGTGGACAAATGTGCAATATGATTTTGTGTATGTGATGGGAAATAAGGAGGGGGGAATGACAGAGATGTCCAGAACAGTTTGTACCAGAGGCACCAAGTCAATGCACCTTGAGAAAGGAATGTGAATTGCCCAGAACAGGGGTTGGCAACCTTAAAACACTCAAAGAGCCACTTTGATCCATTTCCCACAGGAAAAAAGCACACCGGAGCCACAAAACCTGGGTGGGCATGGTCAATTCAACGTCACTCATTCCTACCCAGTCATATGATCCCTTGCCACATCTACCCAGCCACAAAACCATTCTGTCTCTCTCCCCCTCTCCCTATCTCCCCCTCTCTCCCTCTGTATCTCTCTCTCTCCCCCTCTCCTCCCCTCTCTTATGAATCACTCTGTATGTGTCTCTCTCTGTTTCTCTCTCACCCCCTCTCTGTGCATTACTCTGTGTCTGTCTCTATGTGTGTATCTCTCCCACCCCTCTCTGTACGTGTGTGTGTGCGTCTCTCTCTCTCTCTTTCCCCTCTCCCTTCGGGCGACAATCCTCCTCCTCCCCCCCTCTTCTCGTGATGTCATGGCAGGCTGTGGCTGAGCCAGGAGCGTGCACATGCACGGGGAGACTCCACTCAAGTGAGCACAAGAGCGCAGCCAAGTCACGCGCGGAGTGGGCGGCCTCTCGCTTAGGAGGATCTTAACAGGACACGACTTCTCTCCTGCACTAATGCTACATCTATCACCTTGTGGTTTCATCCCCCACCCCCGGCAGCTCTTCGGCCGAGCGCAGAGGGTGCGAACTCCAGCGGCAGGAAGTGAAGGCTGCCTTACGTGCAAATGTGGCACAAAGGAAAGTACAGGGCAGCTTCGCTCCTGCACTCTCCTCCTCCTCCCACTCTCGTGACGCCCTGGCTGTGGCTGAGCCAGGAGCGTGTGCACGTGTGGGGAGACCCTTAAGCGAGCACCAAAGCTCAGGAAATGTGTCCGCGGGATGGGCAGCGGGTTGCTTAAGGAGAGTCTCCCCATGCATGCACAAGTTTCCAGCTCAGCCACAACCGGACAGGGTGTCATGAGAGTGGGAAGAGGAGGAGAGTGCAGGAGCAAAGCTGCCCTGTACTTGCCTTTGTGCCACATTTGCACGTAAGGCAGCCTTCGCTTCCTGCCACTTCGGGCTGGAGTTCGCACCCTCTGCACTCGGCCGAAGAGCTGCCGGAGGTGGGAGATGACATGGCAAGGTGATGGCTGGATCATTAATGCAGGAGAGAAGCCTCGTCCTGTTAAGACCCTCCTAAGTGAGCGGCCGCCCACCCCCCACATGCCTTTGCTGTGCTTTGGCGCTTGAGGAGGGTCTCCCCACACGTGCACACGCTCCCAGCTCAGGGGGGGGAGGAGAGTGCAGGAACAAAGCTGCCCTGTACCTGCCTTCACGCCACATTTGCGCGTAAGGCAGCTTTCGTTTCCTGACGCTTCAGGCTGGAGTCCAAAAAATAAATGAGGGGCAAGGGACGGGTCCAACCAGGGATGGGACAGGGAGCCGCGGCAGAGGGCCCAAAGAGCCGCATGCGGTTCCGGAGCTGCGGGTTGCCGACCCCTGGCCCAGAACATCTCAATGTTCTCATATCATCTTGGCAAACTCCGATTGCCGAAGTCCCTGTGATAGACTGGTCACAGGGAAGAAAGGAGAAATTTTCTGTATCTTTTTTGTGCGGGAAAACCTTAGGGCTAGCCTGACTTTACTGCAACCAACTTCCTTAGTAAAAGAATGTTTTGAATCTAATGGAGTCAAATATCTTTCTTTCCTAAGGAACCAGATTGGAGCAGGTCTGACAGATAGTAGGAATGTTTATTTCTCAACTTAAAATGTAACATGCATAATTAAAAGGAGCATACAAATGTTCAGATATATAACTGAATTTATAAAAGCCACTGTGATTATTAAATAAGCATTAACACAAAGCATCTAAAATTCATACTAACATATAATCATAATTAGCTAGTAGAATTATTTCGAAGTATAGAGAATGCAGGAGAAATGCTATATGATACAAACAAAAATTAAGATTTGGAAAATATTTCTACATAGTTAAGCTATGTATTTAAAATGAAAGCTCTATTAAAAAGCTCCTGTTATAATTACAATATAAATCTTGCTTACCTCTTTGGATAAGCGTGTAAACAAATCGCCTCCTCTGAGAAAGTCTAAAATAAGATATAACTTCCCTTCTGTTTGAAAAGCTGAGGGAAAAGCAAACAATTGATTTCAGTAAAGTCATACAGTATCTCTAGCCACAGAAAGGAACTATTTAATTATTTATGTTACACTCCATAGGATATATCTAGAAAACAATGCCACCATTAGCACCCATCATCTTTAGTGCCTACTGCTGCTGTTTGTTAAAAGTTGCTACTATACTCCAGCAAGTAACTAACTGCATCTACTGATGTTGCTACCATCCTGTCAATTCTTCCTGAAAATTACCCCATTAGAGAAGGCTGAACTATGAACTAGGGAAGGCCTACAGTGAGGGACTGTCTCACAGTCCCACAGTGCAGGGCTGTAAAAAGCATAATGGCCGTTAGAGCTAGCTTGGAAGGAATCCTTTGTCATAGGCAGTATTCATATTATAAAATTATTGTTTCAACATGCTTGGTCATTAAATTTCTTTGGAAGTATTAAAATACAGTGGCTAAACTCCAGCATTCACCATGGGCTATGATTTTCAAATAATCAATAAAAAAAATACCTCATAGCTCAAATTCACTAAAAATGTACAATCCTTGCCTGTTAATGCTAAAACATTTATTGTAGAATTTAGTGTATCTGTAAGAGCGCTATAAGAGTACTTTCTGATTAAAATGTCTCCAAGCTAAGTTGCTGAATCTCAGCAAGAATGTTTATAAAAGAGAAATGCTTCTATGAAACAAATTATATCTAGTGAAAATACAGAGTATTTGATTATTTAATTTTTGGCAAGAAATACATTGGTCTGTTCTTGGCAAGAATAAAATTGCTCTATATTATGAGTCTATTCTATTTCATGGTTTTTTATGCATTGATACAATTGTGCAGATTGGGATGGCATACAAAGACCTTGGAAATAGCAAAATGTTATATACTAACCTCCCTGTAAATGGAAAATATTGAGGAAGACTTTGATAGTCTTTGTAGATAGTAGAACAAGAAACAATGGGTGGAAACTAATCAAGGAGAGAAGCAACTAAGAACTAAGGAGAAATTTCCTGACAGAACAATTAATCAGTGGAGCAACTTGCCCGCAGAAGTTGTGAATGCTCCAACTCTGGAAATTTTTAGGATGTTGGATGACCATTTGTCTGAAGTGGTGTAGGGTTTCCTGCCTGGGCAGGGGTTGAAGACCTTCCAACTTCCCTTCCCTTCCCTTCTCACTATATATCAGGTAGTATTAATGCTACATTTTTATTTTGTTTATTTTGTTATTTTGTATGAATGCAATAATGATACATTTTACCATGCTTGAAAAACAAGAGAAAATATTTCAGTGAGACTCGATACTATATCTTCAGAATATATTTAAACTAAGATATATTTGTTTTGAATCAGTTTTTGACTCCTGCTTACTGCCTGGAAAAGTCCTTGCAGTTTTCTTGGTAAGATTGCCAGAAATAATTTGCCACTGTCTTGCTTCTGAAAGTAAGGATCAAGAGTGAGTAACTGGCTCAAGCTGTAACTCAGCTGCTTCATGCGTAAATTGGGGCTAGAATTAGTCTCTGGATTTCTAGCATGAGGCCTTAAGCAGATATTGGCTCTAAACTAAGCTATACATTGTAATACATTTTCATAAACGTTTGCACACAATGCCTTAGAAGCTCACTGTAGGAAATCTCTGCTTTGCCTATCAGAAAGGAGGGTAATGGATTTCTTAAACCAAGACTTGACAGTAAATCTATACATTTCATCCCAGCTTAATTTGGCTGGTAGGTTCAGATTTGGCTAAAATCCTTCAGATACAAAGCACAGCATTATTAAATAAGAATCTTCGCTGAAATTAGTATGAAGTAACAACAAAAAAGAAGTTGGCCCTGTCAGTGTGTGACAGTACAGTTCCCAGGGCCGGATTTAGATGAAAAGAGGCCCTAGGCTATTCCACTTATG